AAAGTGAATGACTTTTGTGGATTTTGTGAAAAATTTAATGACTTCGGTGGACATTTTCATAGCAAAATCTCGCCAATGATGAGATTTTTACCGAGACTTTGTCTTTGTAATTTTATTAAAAAAGTGTCCAGAAATCCTCGAATTTAAAAAGTCTTTTCTACTTTGAATACCGAATGACTTATTGAGACTCTCAGAAAGTTTCATTGAATACACCGAGACTTTTAGAAATTTACAAAAAGATTTTAAAAGTCTCAATTGAATACACGCAAGACTTTTTACAAGTCTTAAAAAATTTCAATGGAATAAACCCGAATTTTGAAAGTATTTAAAAGTCTTAAATTGAACTTCTCACCGGAATTACTCTATGTGGCAATAGTTAATATACAAAATTAGTATGTAAAACGGATCGAGTGGTGGAGAAAAAAAAAAAAACGGCCTGCGATGATGATATTTATCACTGTCGGTGGACACACTATTACCTCATCCAAAGGGAATTAAACCCCAGCCTCACGCTCTCAGATTTTAAAATGTCGTACAGTTGACTCCAACCATTACTTTTATAATTAAACATTGATTTTCTTTTGTTGTTTTTGTATTTGTTTGTTGCTATTGCTATCATGGCCAGTCACTTTAGTTATTTAATTTACTTGTATTTGTATGTAAATGACATGACATCAACAACACACAATGCGACTTGGGCGTTGATGAACAAAGAAAAATGTAGAGATTTTATTGCTCTATAGTTGTGTCTCGATACATAGTTATGCATTGGTCCTGTAGGCTGATATCCAAGTCCAACTGAAATGTTCGAATCGTAGTTTCCCGGCGGGCAAACTAGGGATTTGGTCGCGTGGTCACTTAGGTTGTTTGACAGTCGGTCTATCAAAATTCGAACTGATACGATGAAGCCACGGTCGATTTGGGCATTAATCTAGACAACTTTTTTATTTGAAAATTGTTATTTTTAAGAGAAAAATCAGAATTATATATTTAGGCGATGGATATTTATGACGAGATACAATAATACTTAAGACTTTGAAATATAGAATTCACAAGTAAATTATTATTTTTATGTTAATTTTTATTTTATATTAAGACAAAATTGCAAATAAATTATCGCCTTTACTCCAATTGAAATTTAATTTTTCTTTTTTGACACAACTTTAAATTTTTGCAACTTGAAACATAAACATTGGTTCGATGATTGATAAATGCAAGGTAAAATATATATTTCATAATATATCTAATTATTTAATTTATTTTCTTTCGTATTTATAGTTGTTACAAAAATATGAGATTCGGTTACACGGGAATTTTTAAACTGACTGAAGAGTTCAATTCGTACAATATGAACTAAAAACATAAATGATATTACAACTCGAATGTTGACAAATTAGAGCCGAGGCGATTAAAATCTTTCCGCAAGACAAATACACCCCGTGTAGTGCTGACGGTTTTGTGCATAATGTCCCCAAAATATACAACGCCTAGCTGCTCTAAAGACGTAGCAGACCAACTTCAGAGCTCAGACGAACAATAATTAAGTCGAGAACTGAGCACTTATGTTATGATGCGTGAGGCTTATTCTAGAGAGTACAAAATACAGATGAGTTTCGTGTGTTTTCTGCAGCTCTATATTGTCCTATTTATAGGACTTCCAACTCTTGAGGGAAACATAACAATCACTTGCCACTTAAGACTAGTAATTGCAACACACTTAAGGTTGTTGTTAGTGGGCAGAGAAACAATCAGGTGTTATATTACTCAGGAGTTAATACTCCACATGAAACAATCAGGTTGAGTCAAATATCCAAGTTCAATATACCTGGAGAGGTCTCACTGAGGTTGGGTCAAAACCCGAGTCTAAATCCAACTTGGATTTGGATTTTCATTTGGGCCTCAAAATTGCAAGAAGATAGTGCCTGGGACTAAGGTCCAAGGACAAGACCGACCTAAACCGTCCAACCGCCCAAGTCCAACCCACAGTCCAATTGCTAAGTACCAAGGCCCAAGTCACAGGCCCGAGCCGGCCGGCGGGCAAGTGTGCGCGTGTGGCTGAAGCCAACCATCACTTAGTGCATAGCTTTATTGTTGTTGTGACCTTTCCAACTTTATTTATTAAAGAGAGTTAACCTCATGTAAGATTTCTATGTGGGATAGAACTTTTGACCCTTCGAATCTCACAATCAACGTTTTGCGTGTCCATTTATGGCTAACTTTAATAATTTATTTCCCACTCACCGAAACTCATTTTCGAGAAAATATTAGTACCTACTCGGAACGTAGAATTTTTCTACACAATTTAATTCAACCCGAATTAAATATTTAGTCATAAAAAAAATAAGTCAAAATCGGGCTCAATTTTATATTATTAATTTTCCAACAATAATTATGTTTGACTACATTGTGCATTGAAGATAATTCTTTTAGAATTAAAATTGTGATCCTAACAATTATCTTATGTGTTCACAATCCATGTAATTAATCGACATTTGTCAAAATTTATGTAATAACAACATTTATGCATTGGATATCTATATATACTTATATAAAAAGTCAACTTATTTACTAAAATTAGTAGGAAGAAAAGTCAACTCATAATTAATTGCACACCATGTTTAGAAAGTTATTTAGATTTTTTAAATCATACAATAGAGTAGCATTAATGACCCTAAAATTATGAGTTTTGTTGAATTCATTTTTAATAAAATTTGCATCCAAATTTACGTATGGTTTTGAAGTGAAAATTTGAAATTTAAGATCTCTTCTTATTTTAGTTACAAGAAAATCGGGTTGCATTCAACACTTGGACCAATTTAAAAATTATTCCTTAAATGAAGGAATTTATAGATAATTGTTATATCTACTCAATCACATGATTATTTTCAATAGAAAAAGAGAAATTAAGATTACAAATTAGTGAATCATATTAATTCAATATCTTATGTAAATCCATATCTCATATTATTATATCATTAAGAATGTATTATAGTTATATTATCAAATCATAAAAAGATATTAAATCCATAATGTAATAAAAAATAATTCATATAATTTTATAAAAATTCTATTACACTATTTAACAGTATTCCTTTTTATTATATAATAAAATAATAATTAAATATTATATGGTGAACAAGAATAAGTAAAACTGTTAATTTCTCTTATATCAAGGGATAAATTTATATGCTAAAATTAAATTTTTATTAGTAAAAATGATTCAGTGAGATAATATATTAATTATTTTACAAGTTAGTCATAAAATGCTCATATTTAGTGTTATAAAAACAACGCTGGTTAAAGATGTGGAAAAAAACTTATAACTCTATTGTTATTTAGACTTAACGTTGACAAAAAGAGATAGAAAATAGATAATAACACTATTACATTTTTGACTTAAACGAAAAAAAACTCATGTTATATCTCTATCGTGCATCGCACGGGTACGTACTAGTTCTATTATACGTGCGATTTCATTTGCATAGTTTGATGAGATGAACATTATTCATTCCATAAATGATTTAGCTCCATTAAGGTAGACAATTGAATGTAACGACTCGAAACACTGAAATCCTAAACAAGTTAAAGAGGGAATCAACTAAACAACCGATTGTTAGATTAATTAATTTTTTTTTTTTTTTTCGAAACGATAGAATTTATAAATAAAAACACCTAAATACAAATAGAATGAGTCGTAGCCATCTAGCCGCATTCAAAAAAGTCTATACAAGTAGACATCAGAACTACACCAACACACCCACGAGTTTTGTTAGCAAACCAGAAAAGGGAAAGTCGCACTTCCTAAAAAAACACTCATTTCTGCCACTAATTGAGAACTGATATTATTCCTCTTTATTGTGTTATAATAAAGCATGTTGTTATCCCATTATATGAAGCACCATCCTCGCTAATAGAAGAAAAAAGGACACCACATAATTAGTTGCCAAATAAAAAGATAAAAGTATAAATAAATTAGTCATTTACTCGTGACCCCAACACGATATTAAATGTTACCGCGGGTTAGTAATTCTTTCTGCAATCTGCATGTTTGCCATTTGTCTATACCTAAAAGAACCCCCCGTATTTTTTAACCTAACATTAATTAATTAACTTACTAGTAATTACCAAACCGGACAAATAGGATGAGTAACCTAAATGCTACGGTCCGTTACAGAAACATTCTGTCAGAATTTGTAACCGTTAGGTTATTATGTAACTATCGAAAATGGTTGATTTAACGGTGGGGTGAGGAAGAGAGTGCGGTCCCACCAGATGAAGCAGACCATAAGAGAGTGAGCCTAAATGTATCTTAGTAAGGTTTCATCCCAAAATAACTGATGGTGGGGGGAGTAGCCCACTAAGCTTATATACTAGGCTCATTTTCCCTATAGTATAAATGTAAGACAGCTCACAAATGATATTCCAACACAAACCCCGATAGATTGGTTCCATAACGAGACCGTAGACTCCCGTAACATTATATGTACATACATCAATTAGTAGAGAGTACTTGTATATGAAAATACGTACATACTTATTAAACTAGACCAATCAAATAAGCAACCCTACATGCACATGCACATACATAAAATACAAAAACAATTGAAGTAAATGTACATGAAAATACGTTACTAGACTATATTCTTTTACTCAAGCTTTATTTATTTTTTTATTATAATTAACAATTACATATTAAAAAAAAAAAA